TCTCATTGTCATTTAAGTAAAACAGTGATTTTTTTTTTTTTAAATCAGCAAAAAAAACAAAAACATGTGTAATTAAAATTGTCTCATTTAAAGGGATTGTTCACTTTGAAATTAATTTTTGATGTGTTTTAGCTTACTTCAAGGGCATCCAAGATGTAGGTGTATTTGTTTCCACAATATTTTAAATTTTGATATTGTTAGGTCAAACCGTTGTTCTCTATCAGTCATATAATGGAGGTCTATGGTCACCACCTCAAAGAGCATGCACAGAGAAGTCCAAATTAAACATGATTTAATGACTCGTAAATGTTAGTACACATTGATGGCCTAAGACATGAAACGAGTGGTTTGTGTGAGAAAACAAACAGTATTTATATCGTTTTTACCTTTTGCAACCACAGCCACGTCCAAGTGATCTGAAGGCACAGGCACTTCGGTCTGCGCATTCGCCGGAAGTAGTAATTTTCTCACACAAACCGTTTGTTTCGTGTCTTAGGCCATCAACATGTACTTACATTTACAAGTCATTATATCATGTTTAATTTGGACTTCTCTGTGTATGCTCTTTGAGGTGGTGACCATAGACCTGCATTATATGACTGACAGACAAGAACGGTTTGACCTAAAAATATCAAAATTGAAAATACTGTGGAAACAAAGACACCTGCATCTCGGATGCCCTTGAGGTAAGCTAAAACATACCAAAAATTAAATTCAAAGTGAACTATCCCTTTAAGTAATGTAACCGTTATTTCCAAATTACAGTATTGAGAATGGGCTTTTTTTTTCTACATATCATTAAGCTGCTGACAATTAACTAACAAGTGGAAAATGTCAAATATCTTATTGGTCCTAAAATAGGCTTCATTTTTTTTTCCTAAGCAAAATGTATTTAATGGACAGCAAACACATTTCCATGTACTGCAACCAAATCACTCCATTTGCCTTTGGCTGTGTCCTGTATCTGTCCATTAGCATCTCCGCTCCACTTGAACCGTGTTAAGAACATGCTCTAAAAGGGGTCGACCGAATTCACCCCCTGCTACACAGTGAGTGTGAATGAGAGATTGACAAATTGGACAATTCTAACTATTTTTTTCTCTCTGTTTGTCTAATGCAGCATTAACTGTTGCTAGGTCAGACATCATGATGTATTTAGGAGAGCCAATATCAAAATATTCACTGGCACTCACTCACGTTATGCAAGTTAATGCATTATGAGAATTTCTACAGTGCCATTTTGCCTTTTTCACATTCATGTTCTCTAGCATTTTGCTGTTTTTTTTTTTATGACTGGCTAAAGGTGACGTTTTGAATAAAGCCTACAGAGAAAAGACTGAAAGCTTTTCATGTTCGGTTCCTTTTAAAAGTTGAAGGAGAGTCATAAAGCAGAAAGTAGTGGAAAGCAGGAGCTCCTTTTTCTGTGTGAAATGAAAGAGAACAAAGAACTCACATTTTTCAATGGAGAAGAATTATGAAAATGAATCCTTGTAACAGGATGTTGAGTTGAAAGCTGTGAATTATTTTCTGGTTAGGTTGTCTGAAAAATCTACTTAAATGCATATATCTATTAGACTATGAAATCTTGTTCAAATGTAAATTATAGGATGTCAGCTCTCTTAACTCATCAAGCATTATTAATTACGCCAATTACATTTTTCAGCTCATTAGTGCCTATTAAAAGGCTTATTTTTTTAAAACCTGTTTAAAGGGATAGTTCACTTTGAAATTCATTTTTGGTATGTTTTAGCTTACCGTAAGGGCATCCAAGATGCAGGTGTCTTTGTTTCCACAGTATTTTCAATTTTGATATTTTTAGGTCAAACTGTTCTTGTCTGTCAGTCATATAATGGAGGTCTATGGTCACCACTTCAAAGAGCATGCACAGAGAAGTCCAAATTAAATAGGATTTAATGACTCGTGAATGTAAGTACACATTGATGGCCTAAGACACGAAACGAGCGGTTTGTGTGAGAAAACGAACAGTATATCGATTTTACCAAGTGATCTGAGGGCGCGGGCACTTTGTGGTTGTGGTAACGAGGTAAAAACAATTTAAAAACTATTCGTTTTCTCACACAAACCGCTCGTTTTGTGTCTTAGGCCATCATTGTATACTTACATTTACGAGTCATTAAATCATGTTTAATTTGGACTTCCCTGTGCATGCTCTTTGAGGTGGTGACCATAAACCTCCATTATATGACTAATAGACAAGGAAACAAAGACACCTACATCTTGGATGCCCTTGAGGTAAGCTAAAACATACCACAAAATAATTTCAAAGTGAACTATCCCTTTAAATGTTGGTCATGAGTACAATCAATTGTCCCAAATTCCAGGGTTGGTTACATATGGCCATATTGTGGGTTTTTACAGCTCAGCACTCAGTGATTTCATCATTCTGTTTGTTTTCTCAGAGCAAGAGACTATTGTCTCTCAGTCAGCGACTCGCTGTTTGGAAAATAGCTGGGCCACAATGGATCAATACACCACTCAATGCCACAGTAATCTAGTCTAGCTGCAGTGGCCCATATTGCTTTATTTCTCAACAATTCTCTCTTTCAGCATCATATAGTGCCACACTTGAGCTATTCTGGTCAAAACTGTGAGTTTTCCTCTACACAGTGTAACCCGCTTTCAAGGATTGCCTACAGCGTGGCTAAACCTGAAAATGAGAAGGTGTCCATGTAATACCACCACCTAGAACATGTGCACTCTTTACCAATAAAGGAATATTCTGGGTTGAATATAACTTTAGCTCACTCTTGTTGCTCACAAAGGCATTTTGACTTCTTGTTATAAAAAGTAATTCACACTAATAACTAAAAGAATTGCAGAGCACACACCAGAAGTATAACTATAACAGCACCGAGAAACAATATTATTGGAATCATTTTTTGAATGATTTTCTCTGCCGATCAGATTTAAGCCGGTTACACACTGCGATTTATAATAGTCCTTACGACTGTTGCTTGTCAGACTTTACGAACATGATCATCGCTGTAAGCCATGTCACATTGTAAGATCTTAGTTGTCATTGATGTCAGACTGTACGACAGTCAAGACGCGTTAAAAACGGATGGACGCACTCAAGAAAACCTGTCTGGAGATTTACATCATCAATCACTGATGCGTACTGTACGTTCACGGTGAGCTGCTTACACGTGGGATTGAAATGGTGGCCTCCATTTTTGAAAAATGGCCTCCATTTTTGCACTCAGGTTTAAGTCTCATGGCCCTCTATCAGAATCCAGAGTTTTGAGAAGATTGGAGAAACTTAATTTTTCGCCCGAAAAAAAAAAACGAAAGGGGTACCACTGTCGTTTTTTTTTTTTCGGGTCGAATTTTTGAGTTTCGATATCTCAGCTCTAGAAGGGTCTAGAGCCTCCATTTTTGCACTCAGGTTTAAGTCTAATGGCCCTCTATCAGAATCCAGAGTTTTGAGAAGATTGGAGAAACTTAATTTTTCGCCCAAAAAAAAAAAACGAAAGGGGCACTGTCGTGTTTTTTTTTTTTTGGGTCAAATTTTTGAGTTTCGATATCTCAGTTCTGGAAGGGTCTAGATCTAATAATCTAATTTAGACATTAGATTATTATGCTCTTTTTCGAATATTACCTTTCATGCAGTGTGTAATGCAGTTATTTTGTGATTAGAAAGCAAAGTTTTAAACATCAAAATGCACAACAAAATATGGATTTATCAAAGTATGTTTTTCAAGTATGGAGGTGCTTGGAAAAAAACATTCAGTTGCGTTCTAGACGGTGGGACAAGTCTGTGGCAAACTTCAAGTGTTTTTCACATACCTAACCATTCACATCAAAAAGGGTCGAAAGCCCTTCGAAAGAAACTTCTTTATACTATTATAATTTAACTATTATAAATAGGATATAAATATATTTATATAGGTTATATGTGTTTGCACATGTGATATCAGGAAGCAACATAATACACACATGACGACAGGGAGGTGACAGTGGTGTGTAAATCAAGTTATCTACTTCTGCTAGTTTTACTGAGATTTCTTATCCCGTGTGAATTGGCCAATAATATTATAGACGTCCTTTAGTAAAATAACATTACTTAATCTTACCTTGTAAAAGTAATCCCATGCAAATTTCCATGGTCTTCATTGGCTGCTTCATTGGCTTCTGTGCTGCGAATCCACTTGCACTTCCAACAGATGAGGAATTGATACAATAAAACTCACAACATTGTTACTATTTGTGTACACAAGTGCTGAGGAAGCCTCCGGAGTTGAAATTCAGATATGGCAATAGTGTGTTTCACTTCCGACCTTAGACTGTAAAAAAGATGGGCGACGCCCCTTCGCTCTTTTTCCTCGGAGAGAACTGAAGCCGCCAATGTCCCAATATGGCGCTGACATCTTGAAACTTGAGTCTGCGCACTTGCGTTTTTGGGACCAGTCATGCGCAGTCGTGAGCAGGAAGTAAAGCCGCAAAATCAAGGCCCCGCCCTCATTCTCGCTGAATCAAACGCAGGCACACGCCCCACGCTTTTCTTAAGTGGCCCCTGTCTGCTCCGTTCCTCTCCAATGACGTCTGCTGATTGCAGTACCTCGTTAAAATAAGGTAAATACAACTACTAACCACGTAGTCAACATTATGAAAAAAAGTCAGCTGGTGCTCAGTGACTACTTCGCACAGAGAACCTGTCAATCACAGCTGTCAATCATAATGTCAGAGCACCATTTTTATAGCATCAAATAACTAACTAAAAACAAACTTATTTTAAAAACAAACACTTGAAATTACATCAACGTGATATAAACTACAATTAATGACAGAAACTATCTTTGGAAAAAGGGTATGTGAAGTGTAATTTAATTGTTTAGTTGGTCATATGTCCCGTTGAATGTTATTCAATGGGATGTGAGATTTTCAATTAAAGCACCGTTACAGTACCATTTCATGTTATATTTGATAGTTCTAAATAGCATTTTAATATTGTTTGGTTTTGTCCTTTTTTATTTTGAGGACTCTTCTCTGCTGACTACCAACGAATACATGCAATTGGTGTGTATGAGGTAGTTTTTCTTAGTGCTTTGCTTCGGGTACATCTTTGCCGGCTGTGAAGGATAAATTAGTTCATTGTTTCCTGCTTCATTTTGTTGTCAATATACAGACAAATTGTTTCCACCAGTTTAAATCCTGCTCATATGATCAATACAAAGCAGCGATGCAGGCCGCCATGACACAATAGTCTGTTCTAAATTATATTATTTACAAATATGACCATTTTGCCAAGATTCTTCTTAGTTTGATAATAACAAGATTATTATAGATTATTTCAAATACCTTAAACTATTGAAATAAAAGTCAACAAGTTGGAAATATGGAATGTGCTTGGGAAATCACTGACTTACTTCTCCCTGCCTCACGGGATTGATAAAGATTTATACTAATAAGGAATGGTTCATCGTTTTCTTTAATGGCATTTCTTAATTTTTTGTTGTGTTTGACTTATTCTCTTCTTAACTGTCATGGGGAGGGATTGAGGGTGAGGGAGAATATTTTAGTCTTTGAAATGTTTTTGTTTTTCTGTACAAAAAATGAATAAAGGTTGCACTGAATCGTTTAATGCATTTCTCTCTGTACATCTTCAGATTCCAATAATATCTGCAGAGCATCTGACTAGTCACAAGTACTTGACGCAGATGTAGTTCCAGTCCTCAACAGTGAGTGGTCACACATTTCTCTTCTATTTTTCATTGTTTTCAGAAACTGCTGTATTGCTACCTGACCTAAAAATTAAAATGTGAATGTTTGATTTGAAGCAAAAGCTTCCCAAATTTGTCATTATTTACTCCTATTTGCCCTCATGTCATTTATCCATAGAACATAAAATAAAAATTCTGAAGAAGTTATTTTCTGTACAAGTACAGTTCCTAGTAATCACATGACCAAATATGACATGGCACCTGTGACGCATATTTCAGCCATATGGAATACTTTTATAGTGCTTTTCTGGGGGGACATGTATGGGAAATGTAAAAAGAAAATCATTACACAAGGCTTCAGAACACTTGGAATACAATGATCAAGTTACATGAATTACTTTTATGTTGTTTTTTAATGTGTAATGTTGCTGTTTGAGCATAAAAAAGGTCTGAAAAGTTGCAAATGTTATCCTCTATACACAGCAAAAACTCCAGTGTTAAATTAACTCTCCTGGGAGTTTATTTGGCTCCAGACTCAAGAGTGTTAAAGTATTAAAATATGAGTGTTAAATTAACACTCAAGAATGTTAAAGTTAATGAGCTAATTGAGTGATTCATTGAATAATGATTGACCATCATTGAAGACACCTGATGTTAACAAGCAGAATCACTGAAGGAGAAAATCTAATTTTCGAAGTCACCATTATGATGATCATTGTTTGCTTTAGTTGGCCTCTTAAACTATTCACATTAGATTTAGTTTGGCTGTTGTAACCGTGTACTTTAAATATAATCCAAAATATTTCTTAAAATTTGTTCTGATCAAAAGTGTTTTCAACATTATTTTATTTAGACACACTAACATCAATAATCAGCCTGTGAATCTCAACAATTGTGACAATAATAAAGCATGTTGAAGTGCATTATGGGCTCCACCAATCAAAACTTATTCATGGCTCCCATCATGCATTGCAGTGTGAATAAATTATGATCTAAATTATCTTAGTAATTTAATTTCCTAATTGAATATTCTGTTTGTCACCATTGTTGAGATTCATACACTGATACTTGATGTCTGTGAGTGTCTGAAAGAAAGTTTTTTTTTTTAATCAGAACAACTTAGAAAGCATTTGAATTGTATAAAAAATTCTGGATCTTACACTGCAGAGCACACTGCGCTTTTCGGAAAGAGGGGCTTCATAGAGACAGGAACTAAATAGAGCGTTATAGGCAGACTGGGAAGAGAGGTGCTGCAATAATGTAAAACTTGAAAAAGAATGTGTTTTTTAAACATTTAAGCATGAAATCCTATTCTAGTAGACCGTAAAAACAAAACCTTAAAGGGCACAATATGGTCTCTTTAACTGTCATTGTATGAAAATAACTTCTTCAAATTTTAAATAATTTAAATAATGACATTCTCGTGTATTCTAAATCTATTTTCTACTTTTCCTCAGATCAAAGGAATGTGCTGTTGTCCTGGACAAAAAGGCAAACAAACAGAATTCAAAATTTTAACATCAAGATCACCGGCAGATAGAATATACTATGAAGATTAAGATTTGGTCATACATGATGGTAGAGTTTTACTAGAGTGTCCTTCCACACGATATGTAGAATTTGAGTGAAACTACATCATTATGTCAGACAGAACGGCATTTTTACTCTCAAGCCGGATTAGTAGGAAAAGTGATTTTCATGTCTGACCTAACACTGTTTTGGCATGTTAGTAGACCAAGAGATATTTTTTGTGATCCACACCTTGATTATCTTTACTCGAAATTTGTCTGATGGTTTACAGAGTTCTAAAAGGTGCACCTTGAATTGAAAAGCGAATCAAAAGTCGATATGGCACAAAAACCTCCAGCGAAATAATTTAATGATCGTAGTTTTCTGTATCTTTAGTCCTGGAATCTAGTCAAACTAGAGATGTAAGCGAGAGTCGAGATTGACAGATGAATGTTTTGGGTAGAAACTGATCACCTGAGACCTTTCAAAAGCACATTCTTGCAAGCTTTATGTACCATAACCACCGGCTGAATACCAGACACAGATCTAGAGTGCTATATCAACAGTGTTATTATGTTTACCAGAGATTAATGTTTTTTACAGCGCTTGTTTTTATACATAATTTCACAAGTGTGGGTTTTTTATGAAACGTGCCATTTTTATTTGTCGATCATCCATTAGGCCTTGTAGAACTAAGAAGCCTTTTTGACTCCCTTGAGAACAGGGTTGCCTTGTTCCTAATGCCCTGTTTCTTTAAATTGCCTTGATCGAGAGAATGTCGCGATGGAACGGAGAAGGCATAGAGAGTCACCACGTGTCTTTAGGAGGTCGTCGTTAAGAGCGCTTGCGTTCCAGTCTTTGTGAGGACTCTAAAATTCATGCTGGAAAAGCACTGCTTGAGTATTTCGTTACAGATTGGGGGTTCGAGACTAGGTACACGGAAAGATGAGGTTAGTGTTGAGTCAGGGTTTGTCTTCAGTTCTCATTTGTGTTGATTTCCATTTGTTTTCGAATAGTTCATGACTTCTAAACAACGTCGTTTTGGGAAAGAGGAATGGAGAATATATAATGAGACATTTTTAACATTAAGTTGTGCCAAAGTCTTTTTTTTTGTTGTTGTTATTTTTTTAAATTTTATTTAAATGTGTTTTGACTGGGTATACTGATTACGGAAGGTGAATCATTTGAATAGCTTCATTTTACGTACAAGGCTGCTTGTAAACCAGGAAGCAATAGTTTTTGAGTGTTTGAACCCACACAAACATTCTCTCAATCACAAATGAAAAAAATGACAGCGGATGAGATTTTATTCTTCACTCTTATTTTACGTGTTTATTAATCATGTTACACTTAACGTTAACTCTGTTCAAAGCCTTTGTTAGAAATATATTGTGTTATTGTTGGCATACTATAAAAATTTGTGTTTTTTTTGTATTCGACAATATTGTCATAGAACTGTTTTAGAATGTAGGAAATGAAATGTTTTTCTTACTGTCACTTTCTTTTACATCATTTTAAGTTCATAATGTTTAGCTAGTAGTGTTGTATTCTTAATTCTTCATGTTAGTTTTCATGGTAGAATTTTAGAAATTTCAGCTCTAAGGATTTTGGTTTTGAATTTGTTGAACAAAATGTTTTATCTTGTCTTAAAAGAGAGTGAAAAACGACAAAGAAAGAGTTTATTTGTAGCTTTGATAAGGTTGATATTTTAACCCTTTATTTCGTGTCAAATCAAGACCACGTCTACAATTAGCTGGTTGACGTATCAATTGTACGTGATAGAGTAAAATAAGTTATTTTCTACTGTATGCATTTCAGAATTGAAAAATCGTATTGTGATATTTCAATAAAAAGAAAAAAAACATCCCTCAATGCCAGGCCAAAACGAGCAGCATCAGAGATTTCTGATTATATAAAGATGAAAAACAAAGGAGGGAGGTCACGGGGCCGGGCCTCGAGCTGCAAACGAGAGAGAGCCATAACTTAAGGGACGAAGGTTGACTTTTTGCACTTCTGTACATAGTCAATATAAAGAAAAGAAAAGGAACATGTATAATATTGAGATCTTATTTTGAATAATAAAAGATTCTATAACTATGAGAAATTTTCTTAGGATAATTTAAGAACTAGTGTAATAGTCCAGCTAACAAATGATGCTTGCAGAAATATGGCACAGCTCTTTTATTATCATTTCAGACCATCACGTTCAGTAAAAAAAAAAAAAAAGAATCAAGCTCCGCGTTGCCTGCACAGCACCGACACGTACCGAGAGTCTGAATTGGCAGTAGGATACACTCCGCCTCGTCATGATTTCCACTGTGGGAAATTCAGTTTTTCACAAATAGATACACCTTCAAAAACACAGTATTTGTCATATGATGGACATGAATAACTGCATGAAGAATAAAAATTAACAGTAAAACTCTCATAATAGATAAGTACGTAGATAAGTTAATTTCTCAAGTAAGCTACCGTAACTATCATCGCCACAGCATAGTGTAAATCAAGTATCTCAATCGATATCTGAGCCTGAATTGAGGCACGTTCACCAGTAATCCGTCTGAGTATAACCGTACAATTATAAAAAAAGGCCTTCAAACCGACTCTAGATGCTAGCAAAAGACGTCCACTTAACACACGACAACACAAGAGTTGCTTTGTTATTTGTAACGTGCCTTCAGCAGGGAAAGGACACCAACCACACAACGGAAAAAAACGAAACAAAATGAATGTAACTGTCAAATCCTCCGCTGAGGTCAGCGTTTTACTCATTCGAGGTTGCTGCACAAGAGCTATTAAACCAAAGCATCACTTTCCTTCGCTAAACACAATGCCTAAAGCTGGTCGGTGAAACCACAGGTGGTCCTGCCTGCTGAAAGCACTTGCTTGGATGCTTAACGCCCTCCATGGAATCTTACACCTGCCCTTTGCTTATAGTTGCTGTAAGATATTGTGCTGCATTCTAAAAGACTTGTTCTCTTACGAGAGGTTCTCTCGTATTGCGTAAGCTAGCTTACGCTACGGGAAAGATTCATCTTTGCTGAGAAGTTGAAGCCAAAAAATTATTCCATAATTTTGTAATCATTGTCAACGCAGTCTCTTCTGAGGCAGACCATGAGCGGGCTAGCTAGCAGCTCATTGGTTCGCTCAGAGAGAATGCACGAACCTATGGGAGAGCGGCGCTGAGTCCGCGCCCAATGTGCGGACGGCGCTCGCTCACTGCGTCACAGCCCGCCAAAAGGGGCGTGGCTACAGTGTATAAAGGTAGCTCTCCCAGGCTAGTTCGTCGATTCTTTTTCATTCAGCGAGCTACACGCATCCGCTGTCCTGGGAAGAAGCCGCCGTCGTCGAGAAGGCACCTTCTAGCGAGCTCCGGAGTCTGAGGAAACCGGCCGTCTGCCACCTTCAGCCACCCAGCAAGCTAGCACCATCCGACGCGTATCCTTTATTCCATTCTATTCCTAAAAGAGCACGAGCGTCTTTTTCAAGATGCCTCGAATTTCCTGCGGCTCATGCCGCTCTTCACTCGAGGAAGGAGACCGCCACCCCATCTATGTTCTCTGTCTCGGAGTGGAACACGCAGAGCTCGCCCTCGCCAACGGAGGATGCGACCACTGCGAGGACCTGCCTCTGTCCTCCCTGCGGGCTCGACTGCAGGCGGTCAAAACCGCTCCCGCACCGCCTCTCACTTCGCCGCGGAAGAAGAAACGCCGCTCCCAGAGGCCGCCGGAGCCCCCTGCGGATCCATGTGGGCCGCCGCCCACCGACCGCTCTCCCTCTCCGCCCCAGCCGGACATTCAGTTGCCGCCGAGTGTCCGCTCTGTCGCCTCCGACGACACCGCTGATGAAAAAGACTCCTGTTCGCTGCACGCTTCGGACAGCGAGGATTGGTCGTCGATCGGCTCATCGACGAGAGAGTCTGCGGGAACCCGCGCCGGCATCGAGGAGGAACTAACGCGCCTCCTTTCGCAGGCCGTCAACCGCCTGGGTCTCGAGTGGTCTCCTCCCCCCGAACAACCACCGAACTGCATGGATGGGAAGTTCCTGCACCGGCGCCCGGCCCCCGTCTGCAGCCGGGCTGCACCATTCCTGCCTGAGCTTCACAATGAGCTCACGAAGTCCTGGAATGCCTCTCTCTCGGCTCGTAACCGCTCCGATGTGTCCGCTGCGCTCAGTGGACGGAGCCGCCGAGAAGGGTTATGCTGCCATGCCGCCCGTCGAGGACTCGGTTGCCGCTCATCTCTGCCCGCCCTCTGCTAGATGGCGTGCCTCCCCTTCGCTTCCTTCAAAAGTGTGCAGAGCGACCTCTAACTTTCATGCCCGCGCCTATGCCGCCGCCGGACAGGCCGCTTCAGCGCTGCATTCAATGTCAGTCCTCCAGGTGCTCCAGAGCGACATCTTGTGCGAAATGGCGAACAGCGGTAGGAACCCGCCCATCCTCTCGGATCTGACAAGCGCTACGGACCTTTCCCTTCGCGCCACTAAAGCCGCCGCACAAGCCCTGGGGAGATGCATGGCCGCCCTCTGTGTCGCTGAGAGACACTTATGGCTCACGCTTACCGACATGGGAGATTCAGAACGCGCCGTGTTCCTCAACGCGCCTATCTCTCCGACCGGGCTCTTCGGATCTGCCGTCACGGGCATCGTTGACCGCTTCTCCGAGGTACAAAAAGCGACTCAGGCCATGAACTTGTTCCTGCCCCGCCGCTTTTGAGCTCTTCGACGGGCCGCTCTCACGAGCCGCCTGTCAGAACCCCACAGCAGCGCCCGCCTCAGCAAGCTCAGCAGCCCCAGCGTAGACAGGGCGGCCGCCCTCGCTCTCGCTCAGACAGCCGCCGCAGACAGCCTCCTCCCCGGGGGCCTCGACCCAAGATCGCGCTGAAGCCCGATCAACAGAAGTCTGCCTAGCACAGCTGAGAAAAAGGCGGCTCTCTCCCGCTGCGGCCGGACCGCCGTCAAAGCTTCGC